ACTGGGATGGGTTTGGGGGGTTACTGGGAGCACTGGGAGGTTACTGGGATCAGGACAGGGTTACTGGGAGCACTGGGAGGTTACTGGGATGGGTTGGGGGGGTTACTGGGAGCACTGGGGGGTTACTGGGAGCACTGGGAGGTTACTGGGAGCGAAGGGTGAGAGCTGCCGGGAGCAGGCGCGGTACTGGGAGGCACTGGTTTGTACTGGGGAAGGAGGGGAGGGGTCACTGGGAGCACTGGTGTGAACTGGGGCGGCCCCGCCCCCTCCCGGCGGGAATTTGGGCAATTTTGGGATTGTGCAAAAGGGGGGGGAGGGGAGCGGGTGAAAGGGGAGGGGCGGGGCTGGAGAGCACTGGGAGGGACTGGGGGATACTGGGAGGGACTGGGAGGGACTGGGGGATACTGGGATGAACTGGGAAGGACTGGGGGACACTGGGATGGACTGGGGGATACTGGGATGAACCAGGAGTGACTGGGATTAACTGGGACGTCACTGGTATGCACTGGGGAATACTGGGAGGTCACTGGGATGAACTGGGAGATCACTGGGATGAACTGGGAGTTTGCTGGAGGATACTGGGATGAACTGGGATGAACTGAGGGCTACTGGGATGAACTGGGAAGTCACCGGGAGAAACTGGGAGCTCATTGGGACGAACTGGGAGGTTACTGGGATGAACTGGGGAATACTGGGATGAACTGGGAGTGATTGGGAGGACACTGGGAGGGACTGGAGGGACACTGGGAGGTCACTGGGATGAACTGGGAGTTTGCTGGGGGATACTGGGATGAACTGGGGGATACTGGGATGGACTGGGATGAACTGGGGGGTCACTGGGAGGTCGCTTGGTTTGAACTGGGATGCACTGGGATGAACTGGGAACTCACTGGGATGAACTGGGAGGTCACTGGGAGATACTGGGATGAACTGGGGGATACTGGGATGAACTGGGAACTCCCTGGGATGAACTGGGGAGGTCACTGGTTTGAACTGGTTTGAACTGGTTTGAACTGGGAGCTCACGGGGTTTATTTTGGATTTGGGGACATCCCTGGGGGGCTCTGGTGACATCTCGGGGGTCTCCAAGGTCCTGGGGGTGTCCCCGAGGGGTTTGGGGACATCCTGGGGGTCTCGGGGATGTCCCCAGGGGGTCCCGGTGACCTCTCGGGGCTCTTCACGTTCTCTCTGCAGGGCTCTCGTCACCTGGGGACACCCCCAAGGTGTCACCTTCGCTCGGGGCCACCTCCAGGGTGTCCCCGTGTCCCCACTGGTGTCCCCATTGCCACCTCCAACGGTGTCCCCATGTCCCCGTGTCCCCAGAGGTGTCCCCATGTCCCCGGGTCCCTCAAGGCCACCTCCACTCGTGTCCCCGTGTCCCATTTCAGGGCTGTCCCCGTGTCCCCAGTGCCACCTCCATCGGTGTCCCCGTGTCCCCAGAGCTGTCCCCGTGTCCCCACTGGTGTCCCCGTGTCCCTCAGGGCCACCTCCAGCAATGTCCCCATGTCTCCAGAGCTGTCCCCGTGTCCCCAGAAGTGTCCCTATGTCCCCTGAAGCCACCCCCAGAGGTGTCCCCGTGTCCCCAGTGCCACCTCCATCGGTGTCCCCATGTCCCCAGAAGTGTCCCCAGTGCCACCTCCAGCGGTGTCCCCGTGTCCCCAGAGCTGTCCCCGTGTCCCCACTGGTGTCCCCATGTCCCCGTGTCCCATTTCAGGGTTGTCTCCGTGTCCCCAGTGCCACCTCCAACAGTGTCCCCGTGTCCCCAGAAGTGTCCCCATGTTCCTGTGTCCCATTTCAGGGTTGTCCTCGTGTCCCCAGAGTTGTCCCCGTGTCCCTCGAGGCCACC